GTATTTTTTAAATAAAAAAAAAATTTTGAATTTACTTACTTGTAGCCGGAGTTAGAGGCGGTCGGATACTTATGACTACTACTGTATATCCAGGTAATTATGTGATATAACATCAAATAGGCAAGACCAATTTGTATAATCGTTGATTTTAAGAAATGGGCAAAATGTAGGTGAGAGGTAAAGGAAATTTTAAATTTGTTGAACTGGGATATGATAATTGCTGAGTCAGTATAAATTTTCACTTTACAGTGAGGTGACGCAGTAATTAGAGCTAAGAAGATAGTTGTGAATTCAGAAAGTGAAGATGATGGAAAACTAGTGGTAAAAGGTGCGATAAAAAAACACATTAGTGAATCAGAATGAATTTGTAACCATACCAGACTCATTTTAATAGATGAGGTGTCAAGGTTTCTAAGGGAACTAACTATCTGTATAAAATTCTAAATTAGTAGAGATAATAAATTGTTGAGTAAAATTCTGTAATTAGGTATTATAAGATGAAGAAACATATTTATCCAATAAATTAATAGGTAACTGTGAAACAAAAGAATGGGAAATAACTACAAATAAAAGATTAAAATTAGAAAAAAATCTAGTTAGTGTGAGTTTATGTAGAGCTCTAATTGAAAAAACTATATGAAGGACATTCACATATTTATTTTTGAATTTAATAGGAATTGAGATACAAAGACTGCAAGGTAGTGTGAGAAAACACTTATAAAAACCAGATCCCAATTTCATCGCATCTTCTTGATATATTGAGCAATAATCATAATCTTTGAATACAGTGTAGTAATGAGAGCCTACTAATAGTAAGCAGTGTTTAATATATATAGTGTTGACATCAATATGAGTAAAACGGCCAGTGATAAATGATTTAGTAATAGTATCCCATCCAACAATGTAGTTGTAGGTTCCAATTCTATGTTTGAGTGATCAAGTAATATAACTATAATAATGATTATATTTAAAACTATTTATTGGTAGAAGCATTCTATGCTTGTTGATTGACAGCAAGTTTTCAATAGTTGTGAACCATTTAGGTGTTATATAAAATCTTTTTTTAGTGTTAGTAATAGTACAAATGTCACTGTATATTAACATGTAGCTGCAATGACAATTAAATAATTGTTCAACATAAAGAACTGAGCATTGATAAAGGTCTCTGGCAAAAGTTCTATAATTAGTTAAAATAAATTTGTGGATAGTATGTGTACCTCCTACTATATTTTAATGAAATATAAAAGGAACATTCAAGGAGATGTTCAAACATTTTATATTACATAGAGTAAATGGAAGCCAATCATCATTTTTCTGTATTGTATTGTAAGGCTAAAATATCAAGAGGCTTTGTGTAACCATTCTTTGATTTGTAGTTGTTTGATTCTTATAAGAAAAGTTAGTTTCAAAAAACCAGTTTCATTAGTCATTTGTAAGAGTGTTGAACTGAAATATTGAAGAAGTCATTGTTACAGCAGGATGATATTGTAAAAGTAATGTGAGTTAAACAGATCAGTAAGTGTAACTCGTGGGAGATTGAGTTTTCTTTTTAAGAATGCAATAAAGGTGGCTGTTAATATTTTACATTGAGTTTCTGATGGGAGTGTTAATTGAGATCTATATTTAATTTGTAAATGAATTACTGTGTTGTATATATAGATTATTTGTAAATTAGTTAACCTTTTATTTTTCATAATAGTGATAGCATTTTTAATTTCAGTATGCAATTGTTTCACAATAAAGTTGTTATTAAGTCGTAAAGATATCTATATATCCAGATATCTAATACTATCATTTAGGTGATGAGGGATGAATTCATAATATTATTAATTACGTTAGATAATAAAAGGTTATGATTGATAAGTATTAACTAATAGTTCTGATTTTGACCAATTAACTTGGATATCATTGAAGTTAAAAAAACTATTAGCAATTGAAGTAATGTATGATAAATTCTCTCTGGATTTAGCTACTCACAAAGTGTCGTCCATAAATGCTAAAGCAGGAATTTTACATTGATAGAAGATGGTTTGAGTGGAATGAACGTCAAGACGCTATTGCATGTTCATATTATAATCATAGGAGAGTCATTAATTTTACACAGAAGCAGATCATAATAAATGCATCACAAAAGTAGTGAAATTACTTCTTCTTGATTGATCTTTGAGTGAATTAAATATGTATCAGTATTTCCATGTGCCATAAAAACTTAGTTAAAACAGGATATAAAAATTCTTATGATGATCTGGATAAATGAATATGGGATTTTAAAGCGTTTAAGGGCTTTTACTAGTGTAAAGATATTGACACAATCATAAGCTTTAGACATATCCTGAAGTAGTACCCAAAGTTTTTGGTTATTAAATAAGGCATCTTATTTAACATGATTAATTATATAAATAGGTCAAATGTTAATTTAAAAGAAAACCCAGCAAAGTTTAATCCTTTTAGTATATTATATTTGGTAAAAAGAGAAGCTAATCAGGCATTCAAAAGTTTTATGAAGGCTTTTCTTGAGCATTCCAATAATGTTATAGGTCTAGTGTTGTTTAGATCAAATTGTCATGATTTTAGTTTTAGAATTAAGTATATATAAGCCATATTCCATCTTGATAAAATCAAAGATATCTGAAGATATCCACAAATAATATACCAAGATACTTTTTTTTCTACAGGGCTGAAATGTTTGAGCATTTCATTAGATATCTTTGAGAGACCAGGAGTCTTATTGTTCGAAAGTTGATCAATAATTTTATATTATTTATCTGTTGTTGGCAATGAAACGTCTTTTTACATGAAAAATTTTATTCAATTTATATAAAAATTAATATACATTCCTGTAAATCCTAATCCTATCTCTATAAATCTATTTCTATTTCTATAGATTTTAATTCTATTCCTGTAACTAATCCTGTAACTAATCCTATTTCTGTAATTAATCCTGTAACTAATCCTATTTCTGTAATTAATCCTGTTTTATTACTTCTATGTTTTCATAAATTTTCATTCTTTTCTGTCATTTCTATTATTCTTATGATATCATTTATGATATCATATTTCCTTTTTAAGATTTTCTTTATTTCCTTTATTTAGAAGTTATTTAACATTTGGTATTTGATTTATCCTTTTTCTTTCAGCAAGTAATTTATCCTTTTCTTTCAGCTAATAGTTTAACCATATTCTGTATCTTAGTTTTTCTGTTAAATATTCATCTGTTAATCTTTTATTTAATCAGATGTTTCTTTAATTTTTTTTGTAATGTCACATAATATTAATTCTATGAATTTTTAACTCTATAACAGTCAAGTAAAATGTCATTATTTACAGGGGTCTAATTGCTCTTCATAATAGTGTCGATCATTTTTTGTCGA